TCCTTACTTTCCCTTCTTAATTGAATGGAAAGATAGGAGTCCCTCTGCCAGTTGGCTTCAGGAGACTCGACTGGCAAGTTGTAAACAAGGGAAAGGAAAAAATGTCAAGGGCAAAAGCAAGCTGTAAAGAAGGAGATATCCAAAGTAACGAAAAAGTGAGTAAAGACCCAAAAGGAGGATATATTTTGTGATCTTATTAATGTCTCATTGTAGCAATTCACTGTGCATTACATCTATTAAACCTATCAGTTCTGCGCGACTTTTCAAACTCCCCTTTCTCCTCCCCCCCGGCATAAAAAGGCTACAACGCTGACTCAACGAATATACTGCGGTGGCAACTGGGAACGAATGTTTTGTTTTTCACCCTCTGGTTATCTGGGAGGGGAACAGTTGACCTGACAAATATTTAGCTTTCTCTCTGCTCTTCCCGAGCGGAGATTTCCCGCTTTCACTTGACACTCGATGGCTCTGCAAGAATTCCCTGCCAAATGGATCCCGAGTCTGATTGTCCGTGAATGTATTGTACAGGATGTATTATTACAGAAGGCAGTGCACTGTATTTCCCCGGAATCAGATTATTCACCTTCCGTGCTCAAACTGTGCACATCGCATGAATAGGCAATAATATTTAATACTCTGCGAGTTAAAATTTACATTTAAACCTTGCTGGTGTGGATCACGTTGCACGTACGAAATTAAAAGTCATTCACGTTAATAAATGTTTGAAAGCAATGAACATAAACTCGGAGTACACTGAAACACTGGAATGCATACTGAATACAAAACTGGAGATTAATGTCTGACACCTGTGACTAAACATTGCCAGTTGTGAAGTTTGTAAACGAGAATGTACTGCCGATGTATCTGTTTCTGTTTCAGAGGTGTATCAAATTGCAGTGCTACCTTTAAGAGTATGAACAATTTTTTTTCTTCAATGACTTACCTGCGTCTCAGTTGACAAGGTTCCTTCTCACCATATTCGCATGCAATTCTGCTTGAGACGCAGCGGAATGATCTAGTCCTTTGCTCCACACCTTCTCCCCTTTCTGAAGTGTAAGGTGAGCATAGCTCTACACCAACAGCACGTCCCTTCCACTCTGCGTCTCCCAAGCAGACTGCAGCTTGCAATTCATTGCCAGTGAAGATCGCAAGTAGAGAGCCCGTCCCCTTTTGTATGTGTGTGTGTTTGTGTGCATGTATGTATGTATGTAACTATGGCCAGGATTGGTGAAATGTCTGTGCCTTCAGATCACAGGCACGATTACAAAACACGATGCGAGAAACAAGACGCAGCCGTCTCGCTGTCTGAACACAGGCTCAAAAGTGGTCACCCCCATTCATTTTAACGTGGGAGCACTGCTAATCTCCTACCCTAGCAACCACATTAACCTGGAACCAGGACGCATATTTGCCAACTCAGGCATTTCGATTCATTGGTTACTCGAGGTTATGAAGTTTCTGTCCGAACTGGGAAGTAAATTATTAGCACCCAAATACTTCGGCTGCTATCTGTGTGCGGGACACGCATTTTTGTAATAACAGTGCCACTCCCGTTCGTTTCAGCTGATACAATCTTTGAAAAGTGCACACACCGAGTGGTCGGAACTGTGCTAACTTCAGCAGGGATTCAGTCATATTCTCAAGAACAAGGACAGAGAGTGCTGGAGAAACTCAACAGGCGAGAGAAAAAACAAGAGTAAAACAAAACGTTTCCAGTCCAGTTGACACTTCGAATCACAACTGTTTTTCTCCCTTCAGATGTGCCAGATCTGTTGAATTTCTCCAGCATTTCCTGTTTTGCAGATTTCTGGCATTCATGATTCTTTGCTTTTATTTTCAAGAGTTCCTTGCAAGGCAATAGATAAAATCTTGGAGATGAGGGGCTCCACACCTTGATTGCTGTAAATGCCTCAAAGCTTTGCTCTCAGTCACTGACTTGGTAGAATTCTAATCCTGCAGTAGAAGGAAGCATTTGGAGAGGACTTTGAAGCAGGAAAGGTGTGTGAGGTTTACTGAAGTAAACCTCTCAGTCATCACTTGTTATTTCTTTGTTGTGGTTGGTCTGCCATTTCCAACTGGCTTTCTTGCCAATTCTCTCACATTAAATTCATCTTCTGCCTGTGCCAGCTCTGCCATTCTTCACCCCTCTTCTGCCTGTGCCAGCTCTCCTATTCTTCACCCTTCTCCTGCCTATCCC